TACAGGTCTTAAACTTTTGGCAAAGACTTTATGGCTCATACAATCTTAATAAATTAATTTATTGATAAAATTTGAGGATCAACTGCATCATTGAATTTCAATGATGATTAATAATAAACATTTCCTGATAAGTCTAATACATAGAACTATTAATAGAAAAACCTAATCAATAGCAGGTTTCAATTTCAATGAAGCTGTATAATAAACGCTGTCTAGTGAGACTAATAAATTGAACTATTAATAAACTATGGTGATGATCAGGCTTATCGAATGCATCGTTCAAGTTGAATGAGGATTGATAATAAACATTTTCTGATAAAACTGATAAGTTGAGCCATCGATAATAATTTTTTTCAAATGATCGCGGAAAATACCATTGTTTACTGCATCGAGGGTCTCGTTAGCTCAGAGCAATATTTAAATCGCGTCCCACCGCGTCACCGGCAAGTGCCAAGATCCGTAAATTGAGAAATTCGGTTGAAGGCGGCCGATGAGGAGGAGAAGGAGGAGGAGGAGGAGGAGGATTACTCGCGGAAACCTGATGCGAGATCACTCGTATTAACATCTTGGAGAATCTCGCCGTTCGGTTCTCCAACGATTTTAAATTAAAACCCGGATGCTACGACTATGGCTGGCGCCATATCAAAAGGCACAGTTGCCTCTCACGCCAAGTATGTAAGAAATGAGAACGACTACCTCGATCACGTCTATTCCTGAGTTTCCTATCCTGATTAACATCATTTCATTTTATTTCCCCCGGAGCCGTGAAGCTCTTACGAACGAACGACCCGTTTAAAAGCTGCGAGACCATTTTTCATCCGGCGTTACGTCCCATCCTGTAAGCTTCCGCGAACAACTTGGGAATTGCGCATTCAGGGAAATAAGCTGAGTCTGAACAGTCAGAGATGTATGCGAGGTCGTAACGGTTTAATATTTCAAACAAGCATTGTAACATCGAATTCGTTCTTTCTTTAATACAGTTTTCATTCTGATGAATCGATCGTTTAACGCAACGTCCAGTGTCCAAGGCTACCCTGGCTCGTGGCACGAATTAATCGTTTCAAATATGGTTGATGTAATGCCATCTTTCGGTTTGTTCAATACGTTGAATCAATTTTAATCGAGCCCATAAGATACTTTTTCCAACACTGTCCAATACGTGGTGCCATCTTCTCTGACCGATAAATAAAACAGGAGAACGAAATGGTAATTAATTATTAATCTAGAATATGAATTTTTCTTTCTTTTAATTTTTCAATGAGTTTTGTTCTTGTATAAAAATAGTGAGTTTCGCAATCCTATTTTTGTCCTCAGATTGATCATCACAGACTATATGCATAATTTGTCTGCATATCTTGTATTTCCATCCAAAAATCTAATCCCTGTGACATTGGCCTAATATTAGAATTTCGATTCACCATTACAAGGTTCCCACAGATTCTCAAAGACGCTGAAAATTTTTTTTGCAAACCACATGACGAGTGTCCAAATATTCTCGGATATTTTATCGTTGGCAGTAAACAATTTTTCTAAAATAACATCGCGCCGCTGATCTAATTCGGGATTAATCGAAGAGCCTCGGATCTTTGTTCCTCTTAATCGGCGTTTAAATAATCGCCGATTAAGCGTCGATTCGAATTCTTGAACAGGCGTATTAGCTACGATGATGGAACGGTTTTCCAAAATTGTAACGACGCAGATCGGTGCATCTGGAAGGAACGAAAATAAATCTAGCACCGACCTGTTACGACGAAGGCCGTGGCAAGCTACGCGAGTCCCGCGGTGTTCCGCTCGTAGAAACCGCGATACACACAATGCTAATTACAATATCACTATTTTCGTGACTTGGTCGTCAGGAAGCCAACCGGCCCTCGCCTCGTTGCGAGATTCAATTTTCCTTCCACCTGTTAGACATTCGTCAGAAAACTTTTCACGTGGGATGCTAGTTTCAATCTTATATTATGTCCTCGACAATTAAAATTCCTGACATGTCTCGTTTTAAACGTCAGATAAGTTGGCATGCTTCGCTTGAAGAATTTTTATGAAATATTAATCACATTGTTAGAATCTTATGTCACATTTCTGGCATTTTAATTCTTGTTTAAAATCATTGCAAATATTTAGTTGAGTTTTTCAAACTGAGATATTAATTGTATTAAATATGACATTTATTAGAAATTCTAATTAATTTGCCTGCCTATATTCGTCTGGAATTATTCATTGCCAATGCACATACGTTTATTTTTCCTGAAGAGAAAGGAAACAGTGTAGATCTCGTGTAAACTTCGTCCTATTTTTATTTCCATCATTCTCTAATTATATCCTAACATAATTTCTGTCGCAATAGATTCGCAGAGATGGGAATTTCTCCTTTCTAATTCCACGATTTGATCTCGAATTTTATTAAAACAAAAGACGTGTAATATTTCGAGTAAATCCCGAGAACAATATTTGGACAGCAGCGTTTAAACGTTGACGTCGACGTCTCTATCAAACTCCTGCCAGAAATTGTAAATTGTTCCCACCGACCTGGCCGAGCTCCTCGTCATATTTTTACGCGAAATCGACCATTTTAGAATTCGTGAAAAGTTTCGAAAGAATTGGATTAGGACAGACATCAACTCGACGCAGTCACGGTTAAATAATAAATATATATTTTAGACGAATTTAATTACAAAATACAAAATAAATACATAACATATGTATATACACGTACATACAAAATAGAAATTTTAATCACTGATCTATTGACAGATGATGTTCGTTCACTTTCCTAGAAGGATCTTGCGAGTAGCGCCGATGCTCTGACCAGCTTGGGTGGCACCCTTGTTCGACCCGGCCTGGAGACCGATCACGGTCTGTCCGGCACGCAGTTGCTCTTCGGTGAAGTCGCGTTTGCACTCCTCAGACGGTTTCGGTCCCAAGTAGGGTCCTTTCCATTCTGGGTGCTTGTACGTCTACGAGCATTAAAAAATAATTCAATGAGCTGATTCCATTGGTTCATAATAAAAGAATTAGAGGAATTTTTAAGATTCAATGAATTTGTAATCAGTAATTAGGATTTACCGTGCGGCCGAGAGCGAACAGAGTTGTTACTACTTGGGCGATGTCTTTCTTCTCCCACAAGTCAGTCGTTTGGAAGACATCAACGTCGGGCACCCCGTACTCCTTCATAGCTTTCTGGAAACTAATTCAAACCGAGATTAACATTTTTATTAATTTTATT